ACGCGGGCGTCGGCGGGCAGAAATCCAAAGCAGCAACCCATCCGAACACGCGCAGGATTCAGCCCAGCTGGGCCTTGGCGGCGCCCCCTCTGCGGCCGATGCGCAGCTGCCATCTCGGCCTGGAGGCGTTCTGCTGCTCCATGGCCAGTCGCTGCCGCGCAGGCAGGAAGACCCCCCCATTTTGCAGTCGAGCGGCAGCGAGTCTTGGAAGACCTTTGACGAGTTCGACCACCCGCGCGGGGGCGCTCTGCCTCTGACCACAGTAGGCGCTCTTCTGCTCGATCGCTCCGCGGGGGCGGCGCCAGCCTATTCACCGACCAGGCCGCCCGGCATGCCGCCGCGTTCCACCGCCGAGACGTGGCTGGCCGCTGGCCCCCCAGGCGAGCCAGACCGCGCGGCGCGGGCGAGACAGCCGGCCAGCGGAGGGCGGGCAGGGGCCTCCACTGGCACGCCCGCGGCCGCCACGGCGCTGGCAGACATGCGGGCCCGGCTCCTGGCGCAGGAGCAGCTGCTGGCCCAGGTCCAGCAGCAGGCCCAAGACCTCAGGCGAAGGATCCGCGAGCAGCAGGCCGACCTGGCGGAGATGGAGCTTCAGCAGGGCGAGCTCGTTGACAGCATGCCGGCAGCCACCGAGGAGGCGGCGCCCGCCACCCCTGGCGCTCCAGCAATCACCACGCTCATGATCCTCAACATCCCAATGTCTGTTACGCAGCGTGACCTGCTGGACCTCATCGACAGGGCTGGTTTCAAGAACCGCTACGACTACGCCTACATGCCGGCAACTTTTGACAGCGGTACCACTAGAGGGATCGCGTTTGTGAATTTTGCCGCCTCAAGCGACGCCCGCGAGTTTTCCGTCTTGTGGAACGGATCGCGACTGACTGGAGTTGCCGGTGCTGGAACCAGCGGGACCGTGATCGAGGTCACCGCGTCGGCGACGCAGGGCTACTCGGAGAACGTCAGGATGTGGAAGGCGAGCCGGCTGCGCCGCATTAAGAACCCCAAGTTTCACCCTTTCATCGCCCCGAGGCCAGCTGCCTAATGAACGCGCGGTTGACATTTTCATTGGATGCGCGGGATGTGGGGGATGGGGGGGAGCGCGCGGGAGGCCAAGGAGGACGAGGACGAGGACGCGGGCACCGCGCAGCGCGCCCCAGAGCGCGCCGGTTGGCGGCGACGGGCCCACCACGAGCTGCCCTCCTAGCGGGCAGCCCAGCCAGGCCGCGCGATCAAGGCGTGCCATGTGCAGAGAGGGATTTGTTTAGTGCGCTCGCTTGAATCTCTGCACGCAGCCGTGAATCATCATCGGCGGCAGAGCTTCACGTAGTTTCGCATTTGCTAGATCAGTATTCAGTATGAGAAAGTTTCAATGTTTCTAAGTGAGAAGCTTCCCTGGCCACATGAACCCGAGGTGCTCATTTCGAGCGCCCGGGTGCCTGAGGCCTCTTCGACCGACTGGAAATACCTGGTCGGCCGGCCGTGCCCTTCCCACTGACTTTGTTTCGTTCAACATTGTAATATTTGAGGATTGTTTCATGTCAGTCTTTGCTCCACGCTTTCGAGCGAGGGCTGTGCCCACTGCCTCCCATTGTTCATTGAGTACCCTCGCCGCCCCAGCTGCCATGCGTTCAGTGCGTGGCACCGAAACCTTCGGAGGCCAGCGCTCGGCTGCAGCAGGCGTGTTTTTGTTTTTCTGCCCACGTCGCAGGGCCGAATGCGGGCACTCGAAGCCTTGCACGACTTCTGGGCGCGTGGCACTCGCTGGCGCCTTCACACTCCTCAACTCCTGGGACCCCCCCTCGAAAAAAAAGAGGGCCCCAGGACTGCCCCAAGACCCCAGGACTGCTGGAAGCGCCCCGACAAAGCGTCAGAGCGACAAACGGACAGCCCGGGACTCCCTCAGGAGGGCGCCAGGACGGCTGAAGGACCTGAGGAGGCCCCGAGAGGCCCCCAAGACGACCCCAACAAGCCTCAAGACCTCACCACGCCTCCAGGAAGCCCCCAGAAGCTCCCAAGAGGGCCCCAGGACTGCCCCACGGCTCCAGGACTGCTGGAAGTGCCTCGACAAAGCCTCACAGCGACAAACGGACAGCCCCGAGACTTCCTAGCTCGTATGGCAATTTCCTGAGCTCACCTTAGGAGGTCTCCAGCAAGCCCCCAGAAGCGCCCAACAGGGCCTCAGGACAACCTAAGAGGGCCCCACGACGGCTGGAGGCGCCTCGACAAAGCGGGACAGCGTCAAACGGACAACACGGGAACCAGCAGAATGCGTCCTATAGGCATCCATTTCTTCGTTTTTCTCTGTCTCGCAATTCACGCGCACTTGTCCTCCAAGGTCGGGGTTCGTGACAATATCAGGTTTTCCAGGTGTGCTGGGTGCTTTCGTAAGTTGCTGTTCTTGCAAATTGTTGTTGTCCGCAAGTTCCAGGTGGTTGTGCGGCCCGTTGGTGTCGAGATAACCCTCGGGTGAGCTTGGAGGACAGTGGAGCGGCTCGCCACAGTTTTGTAAAGTGCAGCTTCTCGCGGGGAGCGGATGGTCATCTCGGATCAGCGTCTCGTTGGGGTATTCAACACATTTGTGGTAGTGGCGCTCTGATCGAATTGAGCTGACAGAGCGACCAGCGATCACGCCATCATGGGGAACAGGATATCGCCGATTCACGGGATCTGTACTCGCAAGCGTCTCCCATGGGTAGGAGGCATGCGCAAGAAGCGTGAATCTGGCTCCTCGAGGAGGTTGGACTTCGGAGTAAATCGTGGCGCCCTCGTGTTTTCGATGATCGCGGCAATCATTTCGTCAGCGTGGCCTTTACCATTGGGGCCGAAGTCACACCAATTCTCTACCCGTGACCTCAGTGGCCATCCGGCGGTCCGCAAGCTTGGCGACGAGCGCGAGAGCAAGGGTTCGTTTCGAGGCACGTGCGCGGTAGCCGTGGTGACGCAAGTGAGGCGGGACTGCGGCACATCCAGGAACGCGTGAGCGACGCAGAAATTTGGGGTCGTCTTCACCTATACTCTGAGTGCCTCAAAAGCTCTGGGGTGACCACATTGTCCGAGGGGGGGGCCCTGTAATCTGGGGGGGGGCCCTGTAGTTTTGGGGGGGTTCTGTAGTCCAGGGGGTGGGCCCTTGTAGTCTGGGGGGGGCCCTTGTAGTCCAGGGGGTAGGGGGGCCCTTGTAGTCCGGGGGGGGGTCCTGTAGTCCGGGGGGCGCTCGCCGTCGTCGTCGCAGTCGTCGTTCAGGGTCGTGGCGATTGTCTATCTGTGGCATCCCGTAGCATTCGTGCTGGGCGTGGTGGCTGTAGCCTGGGGGGGTCCTTGGAGTCCGCGGGGGGGGCCCTTGAAGTCTGGGGGGGCCCTTGTAGCCTGGGGGCCCAGAACTGTTGATGCATACTCAGAGTACGTTGGCGCGTATAAGCATTCCGCGTAAGGTCACGCGTAAGCGCCCTCGTTTCCTGCGTAGCGTGCCTCGCTGTCGGCCCGCGTAAGCTGCGGCGTAAAATCGCTATGTCATCTCGCGTAAGACCCGTTTTAGGCCGTCGCTCACATGCCCAGGCCTGACAAGCATCCCCTGGCCGTGCTGGCTAAACTGGATCTCAGGGCCGCCTTGGCGTGCTCGGCCCACCCAGCGGGGACCTGCTACCTCCTCGCCCTCTCTTCTCCCCGCTCGGCCGGCTCCCCCCCCGTTCTGGGGGCAATACGGGGGGGATCAGCATAGGGGGGGGCATCGACCCCCAATCGTCTACTCATCGCCGATAGGGGCCCGATAGCCTCACCCCGCTCAGGAACGTGCGGATTTGCCATCGGGGGCCTGGCGCCGATCTACTGGTGGTGCATCGCCGATTCTACGGCGATGTCCCCCCCATCTGAGCCGGTCCCCCTTATCGTTGCCCCTCACCTCCCGCGAAGGGTGCCAGCTCGGAGGAGGGCTGGGGGCCCTCACCAGGCCCTGCGACCGTGCCCAGGAAAGTTGGGATTCACCATCGTGGGCCTATCGCCGATTTATCGGCGGTGTGTCGCCGATTCCAGGTCGATGTTTCCCCCATCAATATGCCAGTCCCCCCCTATCTTTGCCCCCCCCTTCCCCCCCTCGAGGCCCGCAGCGCGACCTTCGTAATTCGAGGAGGAGATCGACTGCAGCATTGGTTTACCATTTTTTTTTGGTTTGCGTCGGATCCACGAAACGTGCGCGCAGAAGGCCTTGTAGATCTGCGGGGCATGCTGCGCATTCTTCGCAGATTCGACGAACAACACGTTTGGGTACATCAACTGTGTAGTCGATCTCCCCCTCGAGTACTGCCTCGCCCCGGACCCCCTCCGGCGGAGCCTGCCGAGGATCGGGGGCCGCGGAGCGGTGCAGTGACCACACCGTGCAGTGAGGCAGTGGGGATTCGAGGCCACCGCGCGGCTCTGGGGACTCGGGCCGTGCTCCGAGGATGTCTCGGGCGACTGGGGGCCTCCAGGGTCCCAGAGCCGTGGGGTGAGGACCGTGCGGCGAGGTCCGCCAGGATCTCGAGATCACCGCCCGGCCTGTGACTGCACGGCCCTGGCACGTCCGAAAGGAGTCCGCCTTCCAGACCAAGGCATCCGACAGCTGCTCTGCCCTGGCTCGGAACAATCGGCGGGCACCTGGGGAGTTCCCGACCCCCCCCGCCGAGGGGGGCGGCCTGTGGCCCCGGGCCCACGCCTGCCGGTCCCCCGGGGGGCCAAGGAGGGCCCTCGGTTGGGAGCCTCGAGACGGGGGCCGGTGCAAACGGGGGTCAGCCAGAGCGCCAGATTTTGCAGGATCCTGCGGAGCCAGGGGCGCATTGACCCAGGCTAGGGCGCAGCATCCTGCAGGATCAGGCCAGGCCTGGCTGGCCCGGGTTTGGATTGACCCAGGTCAGTAGATCCCCCACTCGGAGGCCGACACGCATGAACAGAAGCTCCGGGATGTCAAGCACCGGTCCGCCCGAAGTCTGTGGGGGGCGGGGTTGGCAGACGGCCCGCGCGTCGCGTGCCAGGCGCGACGCGGCGGCCGCGGGCGTTCGCCTGCCACCCCCGCTGTGGGGAGCCGTGCCGCCAGGCCCTCCCCTTGGCCGCGTCGCGCGCGCCGAAGCGCTGGCGCGCGCGCATGCGCACGCTGCCCTCCGCATCCTTTGCCACTCCCGTTGGTGCTCGAATGCTCCGGGGTCTCGGGGCGCATGTACCTCTGAGCCCCAAGCTGGCCAGTTGCGTGCGCGTGCGGACGGACGCGCACACAGCCTGGGTGGAGATGTGGCCAGGCGTCGTCAGCCCAGATCTTGACCCTGCCGCGGACTCACCTCCTCATGTCTTCCTGTTCTCGGTCTCTCTCTCTCTCTCTCTCTCACTCCCGTCCTTGCTGGCACGCTTTCCCCCGGAAGCCGAGGGCGAGTGAGTGATGGGAGCGAAGAGAGGAGGCTGCGGCAGAATTGAACTTGTGGTGTCCAAAACCTGGATAGCAGGGCGCTCGACGGGCGTGGGAAGGCTTGGCAAGGATCTCTGGAAGGATTTGGAAAGAGATCCCGAAAGACCTTCTGGAGAGCTTCCGGGCACGCGTATTGGGAAACGCTAAGGACAAGCTCTTCGGGACCCGCTGCCGGGACAAGCAACCTCCGCCGAAGTGTCTGGACCGACGCCGGAACGATCTCCGGAGCCACCCTGCGGCCCCGGCTTCTTACTCTGAAGCCCTTTGAGCTCGCTGCGAGCTCTCCGGGAGCATCGAGACGGGCCACGGGGGTTCGAGGGTGGCTGTGGTAGTCCCCTGGGAGAAGCCCTTCCAGAAGCTTGGCTAGGTCAGTTAAGGTGTCAGGCAGGTATTTGGAACGCCAAGTTTGTTGACTCTGGATACCGCGCACGCTCCGCAGGCCTTTCAGACAAGAATTGGGGCTCAAGTTTGGACAACCAGTGGCCCACAGTTGATTGCCATCCGGTTGTTCCACAACCGATTGGAGCCCACTGGGTAATTGGACCCGAAGAGCTCCCCTTTCCCACTCTATGGCGCCAGACATGCGCACATACCATACTCACCCACTGTAAGTTATGTGTTATGTGTTGGGCTCTGGGATGCGAGGGCAAGGAAATTGTCATTAGCTTGCCAAGCAAGCCTCGGGGCTTGGACCAAGCATCAAGTGTCGTTGTGACTGCATCGGTAACACTTTGGCAGTAGGGAGACGCTGACGACACCGTCGTGGCTCACAGCTCGGACCTTTGCATACGTCTATCTCAGTCATGTCTGGCCATTCCTGCAGCGATCCCGCGTGTCTTCTACATCGGGTCCCCGCTTTCGTGTCGGAGTTCAGACGAGGAGCACGGGGAGGAGGATGAGGTGGAGGAGAAGGAGGAGGCGGAGGAGGTTGGGCAGGCCGTGCATTGCAGCAGTATCTTCGACGAGAGGCGTGATAAAGGTGAAAGTTGATGTGATTGGCCATGTGGATAGCAAGGTTGTTTATCGGAGGGGGCAGCTTTACAAAGCTGGGAATTGCAAAACATCTTCGTGCCCGTCGGTGGCGACTGCGGCAGCAAACGCGACGGCCGCTCTCCCTACTTGTTCTCTTCTACCTCATCTTTGCTTTCCATCTTCTCATCGCGAGACGTACGATGAATTCTTTGTTCCGATCCACGGACCTCAGAGGTCCCGACCCCTTCCCCGAGGACGGTCGTCCCTCCCAGATGCAGTTCTGACGGCCCAGGGGCCCGCAGATGCCTCGGGGGGCCGAAATGAAGAAAAAACTCCAGAACCGAACAAGGTCTATTCAGCTGGCCGATGTGTGGGTCATCCATCCCTCCTCCCGTCTGCGTAGGTCTCCCAGATGGGGTCGGCGCAGATGGGGTCGGAGGATCGCCCCGCATCGCTTATGCATCGACGAAGCGGCGCGATGTGGAGCTTGAATTTCTCCACGCTGATGGCGCCGATGCATTGGCGATGCAATAGCGATGCGGCCCGATCCTCTGAACCCATCTATGCGGACCCCATCTAGGAGGCTTCTATCCCTCGCCCACCCTTCCTATCCTCCGGCCTCCCCTTGCCCATCCCTCGCCCCCTGCCCCATCTCAGGCCACGGCGCGGGAGGCCCCGAGCAGATGCAGGCGCTTGTGCCCGTCGCCAGCCCGAGGGCGACCCGCGACAAGATAGAATCCGCTCATATAGTGATTGTCTGGGCAACGAGAGCTACCTGAGGCGTTACAGAGAGGGCCTCTCCTTCGAGGATCGGAGGAATTGGCATTTGTTTCTCGGCGGGAGGCGGCGGAAGGCCGGCGGAAGGCGGCGGAAGCAAACCGCTGGTGGAAGGCTGGCGGAAGCCGGCAGAAGTGTCAGGCTGGTGCGTCCCCAGTTTGAAAACCTTGCGGGAATTTCTAGTTTGATGTTGTTGTTCCGAGATCCGCTTTTCCGTTCGAACGTTTTCAGAATTGGTCGCGCGTCAGGCGTGGTCAGCAACCGATCACCGTGGGCATCGTTGCCTCTTCGTTGTCTGCCCTCTTTCTTTGTTCGAGTGCGTCGTCCTGCCGACGCCGCGACGGTGAATGTGCGAAGTTCCAGAGACAGTGCAGGCACGGAGAGACGCTGCGAAATCACGAAGGAGAGGTGCAATGAAAACCGTAATGAAAACCCAATGGGAATTCAGTGACAAACTGAAAGAAAATTCGGTGAACAAATCGTGTCAAGACAAGTATTTTTGTCATTGGTGTTGGTGGCTTTTTCTTTGAGGCCCATCGAGGGACTTTTCGCGGCGCCCCCAGTGGCGACGGGGGTTTGAATTTTCATGTCGTTCTCTCGTCGACTTGCCTGGCTGTTCAGAGGAGTCGCATTCTCCGTATATTCGGATCTCAACTACAATGCGGTATTTGTCTGGTAGGACGGAGCATTCTTGCCGTTGCAGCCATCGCGATAGGGCGCCCGCCGCAAATGCGGTCAACGCGCTTGTCGGAGGCGCTGGCAAAGCCCCATAACAAAAATCAGGGTACATCTGCGGACACCGCCAGCCTGAGAAGTGAGCATCGGCCGGCGGAAGCCGGCGGGAGTAAACATCGGCCTCCCAAGAGATGGCAAGATTTTTTGATTCAGGGTTTCGGGAGCACGCCATTTACATGAGATGTCCACCGACTTTGACCAGGTCCATCCTGGGCCCACCCATGATCTGTGCATACGCCTCCCTGGCCAAGCCAGGAGCGCGTACACACCGATCCTGGGCGCAGAATGGATTCGACAAGGGTCGGCACACACACACACACACACACACACACATCTAGAATCATATTCACATGCTCATCTGTCCGAGGGCGTGAAGGATTGAAGCACAGGCTTGCGTGGGACGTCCTCGAAGTTCTTGCCGACCGTTGGCACCGCCCGAACATACTGATACTATGTGTGCGTCGGCCCCTGCAAGGGCGACGCGTGCGACAAGAACTAATTTAGTAGAAGCTCCTTGGTGGACGCTTTCTGGCCACACCGCACGGGAAACGGTATACTACAAGATGTTTGTGCTACATGTTTGTGAGTTTATACCTTGACGTGCCACCGTAGGGGTATACATTTTCCAGCCGCCCGGGGGGCAGGCGTCCCCGAGGGCGGAAAAGTTCATGATATACCGTTCTTCGCTCCCTAAGGGATGTGGGATCAAAACGTGGAATCAAACAGAGGGGGGAACAGCCGTCAAGCCTGTGCAGGCCCAGGGGTCATCCATACATGCATCTCGCGGATCCTTCGACATCGAAGTGCGAAGGAAAAACGCATAAGCGTAAGGTAGGCTCACGCGTCGATGGCGCGCCGGTGACGCCGGCGAAGGCGTTCAAGGTTGCATTATGCGACGCGGAAGCACCGAAGGACACGGTAACGCCACTGGACCCGACGGAATTCAATTTTGAGCCATCGGGGCCGCGATCGATTCAAGGTTGAACGATCGACGTGGTTCTCAAAAACTTTTGCGCGCGCCATAGCTGACAAGGCGCTGTACCTCGCCTTCTGGATACTCTTCTTGATGATCCTCCCCCTGAGGCGGGTTTCTCCGCGGGCGCCCCCTCCTTGGTGGAGCGTCAGGTCTATTATCCCTCCTTGGCGGGGCCCTTGGGGTTCTCGTATCAGGGGGGCGAGGGCGTCGAATGTCGCTAGGGCGAGCACCGCTGGAGCGCGCGCGCGAATGTCCGAGTGAATGCCTCCGGGCGCGACCGCGGCGTAGCAGACGTTAGTCTTCAGCTTCCCACTCGTCGTCATCATCGTCCGAGCGGTTCGCGCGTGCCCAGACTCGACGGCTTGCTGATCGCCTCTGGCGGCTGGGGGACCGCCTCGCGGCCGCAAATGCAAACTGATGTTTTTCGTTGTGGCCGAGTTCGTACTGAATGCGTTCTGACAGGTCGCCAGCATCTCGCGGGTGTCCCCGCAAGGGATCGCCGCCATATAGTCCCATGTTTGTCGGGCTGCCAATTGCCTGAGGATCAAGCATCATTTGTGTTTCGTCTGTCGCAGGAATTGCGGCTTCTGAATCCGCGGGTGCCCCCGCCATATCTTGATCTACTTCGGCGGGCACATGGGAGTTCCCGACAAATTCGACGCGCGCAGGTTGCCCCGCGATGGGTGTGCCCAGCCAGTCCGCCAGATTGATCTCATTGTCGCCAGTAAATATCTCCTCGAAGAGCTCGTCGGCGCAATTCTCGAGGGACATACTGGCACTCAAATATCTGGCAGCCATGGAGTTAACAACTGTAATTGAGCTGTCGGCAGGGTCGGCCACTGCGTTTCCCAATCGCCATACTGTACGTCCGGGCCGATTTGAGCCAAATGCATCGACGGACCTCTGCCTCCCCCATCGCCCTGAGGGCATTCACGGCGAAAATGTTGCGTGCTATGGCAGATGTGACATTCCATTGTTCTGCCGTTGGCGTATTCGGGTTACCCCGACGTCCCTTACTGTTTCCTGACGTGCGCCTGCGATTCCTGCCTGCACCCAGGAATAATTCTGCGTATTGCGGCCCAGTTAAGGATGCCAGGAAACCTAACATACCTCTGCCATGCAGTCGCCGTCGTTTGCCCTTACCCTTGCCTCGACCCTTACCCTTTCCCTTATGTGCCCGTCGGATAATGCGTCGTGCCTTGCCATCTGCGTTTATGTTTCTGATATCCTAGAAACAGCCATTGAGCCTGCTGTTCTTCCGTAAGATACGTGGGCATGTCGGAATAGTCTAGGGCGTTCGCTTCGTCGTCTGATGGCGCGTCTGCGTCGGTTCCAGAGTCAGCGGCCCCTGATACCTGGCCCAGGAGTCTTGCGACCCCGCGGCCGAACCACCACTGTGAACTAATAGCGTGGTGGTTTGCGTTGGTTGTGGATCGTCGTTCCAGACGTTCGTCGCAGGTTGCACTGCGTTGGCTTCAGCATGGAAGGTTTCGGCGCGGTGACCGTGGCTGAAGATACCACCAATATTGCCAGGAGTTCGCTCAGCGATGTGAGCATATGATCTCATGTTTGCAAGCAGAGAGTCAAATTGCTGCTGGTCCCCCGGCATATGGTGGTTAAGTGGCTGTAGACGTTGTTGTGCACGCGACACCCCCACTCCCCACCCCTACGGCTCTGAACAGGATGACCATCCGAATTTGGAAGTTGGGGATTTCAAACCCTGCCGCTTCAGCCTCATAGCGGGCTATCTCGAAGCGCGCCGTTGCCTGGTCGATCCGCCCCCCCGCATGGACTCGGAAGTCGATGGAAGCAGTGTCCGAGTTGATTTGGGATTCCTCTTCTCAGTTCTCAAACTTCGTGCGCAGGAAGAACATAATGTAGGTGGCACCATCAATATGGCGACCACCTATGTTGACGCCAAAATTGATGACTGCTGGGGGAACTCTCATGGCCATGGTCCGTGCGAGGCCCCTCAGACCGCGCTGGAGTGCTGCAGCTTGTCGAGAGGGCGTCATACTGCCTGTGGCCACGTTGATCCAAGCATGTGCATCTCGAACAAATTCGCGGAAAAAGTGCTTGACCGGCCGGGCCCCACTGGGGGCTGGTTGTCCTTGTGTCGTCTTCGCCACGCATGTGTCCCACAGCGCGCCCGATGACAATCCATAGGAGACCAAAGGTAGCAACACCAATCCAATGGCCCCGCAGGTCGTGGTCGGATGTGGTTGGCTGAGGTTTGTGGTGTTTTGTTGTAAGCCTGCGCGGGGGTGGAGGCGGCGCAAAATCGTATCGCACGCTGCCATGCATGGTATCTTCAAGGAAGTTTCCATTTGCAGTAAGTGGGTGGACCTCAGGAGTGCAGTAGCGCAGGGATGCAGGACTCGAGCGAGAGGCCTCTGCGAGAGCAGAGGTAGCACTGCAAGTGTCCTTGCGGCTGTGCGTACTTATGTATATGTACATTCCTCCGCGCAGACCCACTGCACCCTCACGTTCCATCATGTCGGTAGTCCACCAGATAGCGCCGTGAATGGTGTGGAACAGAGCAAGAACTGACCACCATAGGCCAGCTCCGCTGCCAAGTTTGAAGGGGGCCGGTAGGCCCGACCAGAACCTGCGCCTTAGGCGAAGCACAGCTCCTGCTCTGATGCATCGTAGTAACGGTAGCCCCGATCGTGGGAGATCGTCGCGGGAGCGACGGGCCATCTCAAGCGAAGGATGTTTTCGATCTCGATGGCGAATCGCACACCTCGCACTACGGTGTAGTTAGATATCGGCGGCCGGCCGCTTGAGCACAAACGGCCGCGGACACGCGCTCGTTACCTGTCGCCTGTATCCCAGCTCACTTTAGAGTCAATATGTCCCCAGGTGGAATAATATTGCTTCTAATATCGCACAAAACAGCCCAAGGTGGCTCGTGGTAGCCTCCATCATACCTCCAAGATGGTTCCAAGTGGATACGGAGCTTGCCAAGGACGCCACCGAGAGGCTAACATCCTCCAAAAACCATGGGAGAACAATGAGTTAGTCATTCCTGCCTTTTTCATTACGACTGGCTTCTGAGGCCTCAAAACGGCCGCAGAGGGCCCCAAGAACGCCCAATAATTTTCAAAGAGCGGCCTAGAAGGGGCCGAACAGGCGATTTTGAAGGCTCAGGCGGAAGGGCTGGCATCAAGGAGCCCGTTCTTTGATCGAAGTGAAATGGCCCTCAGGGACCCAAAAAGGGCCCCACGA